AACACACAGAAAATCAAACCTGTTCTGAAAAAGAAAATGATGAAAAAGTTTCTGGGTCAGTGTGCAAACATGATTTACACAACATGAGATCCTTTTTTCAAACCAGTGGCAATTTGGATATAAAGAAAACAGACTTTGTGTGCAAAAAGCCTTCACTCAGAAACGTAAAACATGTTTGTAAATGTCGTGTCTCTAAAGCTAGAGCTTTATGTTTCTCAGAGACTTGTTTACAACGTGGCTACTATTGACTGATTCATTTTAACCGGACATAAAAAGTACAATTTAGAAGTCAGCTTTAAAACTAAATCATGAAAGGCAGCAGCTGATTTGTGGGATAATCACTCTGTAGATTAGATGATATTCATATATCTTCTATTAAATGTAAGATCACATAGTAAGAATATTACTTCCCCATGATAAAAGCAACAACTGAAAATATATTATTTTGTTCAGATATTTTTAATTATCACAGACATAGAAAAAAGAAAAACAAAACAAGTTTTACCTCAGAAATTTCTACAAAAATAAGTAAACTTGAAAAAATACCAAATATTTCCTTAAAATCCTTGATGTTAATTTTTTGAATAAATGAAATAACTTGAATGTGTATAATCAACTATAGGAAACGAAAAAACATATTTTACAATAAAAGACAATTTTTTTTAAAATACAAAGATCATAAAACCTGAAATTACTAATTACACAATCTGATTCAGATTGTGTTTGATTTATATCTAAACTGAATTGAGAAGTCAAACAGGAATCACTTCTTAGCAGGAACAGGCCTGTTTTACTGTATACACAGGGCGCCCTCTTGTGGCAGCATCTCTCTTACAATTTTCTACAGTATATAAAACAGCAAAAGATGACACCATTTTAGTTATGTTAAATGTTAGATGAAGTCACCGACTGAGTCAGATCAGCTTGGGTGGCGGATTTCTCCTGGCCAGAACACAGCGTCAGCAACGTCTGCATTTAAACATTTTCCTCAAGGACGTCATGGTCCAGTGTTTGGATGAGCACTTGTCCTTTTCATTAGGGCACAGGTATCATGTGTTTGTTTTACATGACATCACATCCATAAACTTTAGCAAGAACTAAGTTACTGTTGGAAGTGTCTTTGTGGCGTTCTTGTACACTGGTCCAGCTAGACACAAAACTAAAACGGACGGTGTTCAATCAGCTAATGTCATAAGCCAGAGTTGATGGAACCATCAGAGGATAATACATTTGCTTTTGTATTTTTGTTTCATTTCATTTATTTCTTGTTCGTGCTTTTTCTTCAATTCCTCTCTTTCTTCTTTCAGATGTTTTTCTTTGCTTTCTGAGAGGTTTTGTAAAAGATTGTAATCTTTGTCACGTCTCTCTTCTGCCTCGTGCATTTGTCTTTCTTGTCTTTGCTTCAACTCACACATTTCCTCCATGTGTTTCTCTACCAGTGCATTGAAGTCCTTCGTGTATTTCTGTCTGAAATCATTGAGTTCTTCAGCTTGTTTTCTGGCCTCCACTTCATGCTTATTCTTCATTTCCTTCATTTGTTTCTTGTAGTTTTCCTCCATATCACTTCTCTCCTTCTCCTCCTGTTCTCTTCTGTTTTTTGTCCTCTTCCTTTCTTTTCTTTCATTAATCTCTCTCTTTTTCATATTCATCTTGGAGCTTTTTAAGTTTTGCTCGTTCCTCCTGTTGTCTCTGTTCATCGTCTTTGTGTCCGTTTTCTTCTTTCTTTCTCCCAAGTCTCTTGTTGCTTTCTCATCTCTTCTCTAGTCTCCTCCAGCTTTTTGTCAATGTGTTTCCTTTGATTCTGATTCTGATTTTATCTGTTTCTCCAAAGCTGAGAGTTTCTGTTCCATTCCTGTTTCTTAATTTCTTCCTCTGCTCTCTTTTCCTGTTTCTTCTTCTCTCTTTTGCTGTTCTTTCTTTCTCTCCTTACGATCCTTGTTGATCCTCTCCTGCTTTTCTTGGAGTTGTTTTTCTCTCAGTTGTCGCTCCTTTTCAATTTCTATTCTCTGTTCTTCCATTCTTTGTTTCATTTCTTTCATTTCTTCCTCGTGTTTCTTTTGAAGCTCCTCCCTCTCTCTCTTCATCTCTTCTTCTTTCTCCTGCAAGAGTCTCTCCATTTCTTTCTTTATAGCGGCTTCAGCTTCTTGCAGCATCTCATTGGTGTAGCAGCTGCCTCCATTAGTGCTCACCATTTCTTCAATCTTGGTTATCAGCTCACTGACTTGAGTTCTGTTTTGTTCCTCACAGTTATCAAACACGTGGTATCTTCCTCCACAGTCAGCAAGGAGTTTCTTAAAGGAATCATCACATTTCTTATCAATGTATTCTTCAATGGACGTGTTCTTACGCTTTAATGAATCTCCTCCAGTTAGAAGAACGATGGTGAACTTTTCAGCATTCTTCCCAAAGACTTCCTTGATGAGTTTTAATGTCTCCTTCTCCTCTGGTGTAAATCTGCCGATTTGTAACACCAACAGGAAGACATGTGGTCCTGGAGCCAGAAGACTGATGCATTTAATCAGCTCTTCTTGAACCTCTTCATGAGACAAGCTATTGTCAAACAGACCAGGAGTGTCAACCACAGTGACCGGACGACCGTTCACATCACTTTGTGCTTTCTCACAACATTTTGTGACTGAAATTTGGGATACTTCAGCTTCAAATGTGTTCCCTCCCAGAATGGTGTTTCCTGAAGAACTCTTCCCAGAGCCAGTCTTCCCTATCAGCACAATCCTGAGACTCTCTTCACTCAGCTTATCATCATCACCTGTGAAAAAAGAGGGCCTAGAATTACCTTCAATGCTGACAAATTTATAGAGTACAGTTTATATACATAGACTTTTGGTATGATTAACAATGGGAGGTTTATTTTAAAAAGTGATTTAGTATAATTTATATTTATAAATTAAAATAAAAAGTACATACAGATGATTGGGTCTTTTGTTTTCAGGTTCTTCAGCTCAGCCTGTAGAGTTACGATCTTTTCTATTTGGGCTTGTGCAAATGTTTGTGTTGTGAAGATGAATGATTTGGATTTATCTTCGTGCATCTTTTCCACCATGTCCAACAGCTCTGGGATCTGCTGCTTGTCCTTGATGTTTAGAACCAAAGATCTTCCTCCACAGCTCTGAAGAAGCTCCTGGATGGACTTGGTTTCTTTTAGAAAGTTAACAACAGCTGGAGCTGAGGGATCTGACTCAACAGTGAACAGCAACACAGTGATGTCATTGAATCGACTCCCAAATGTGTTCTTCATGGTCTCCAACTCTCCTTTGTCTTCATCAGTGAGTGGACCCACAGGTAGAACCAGGATGAAGGCATGGACGCCCTCAGGATCACAGAGAGAGACACACCTGAATGATTCCTTCATCACCTCCTCCTGAGGTTTTCCATACAGGGCAGGAAGCTCCACCAGGGAAACCCAATGTCCGCTCACCTCTCCCTGATGTTTAACACACTCTGATGAGCTGGAGACTGAATGAAGATCTGTCTGACCTAAAATGGCCTCAGCTGCTGAAGTCTTCCCTGCTCCTCTCCTTCCACACAGAACCAGGCTCAAAGCTGTTTTCATAAGACCAGACTTTGGGGCGACTGAATCCTCGATGACAGTGAGAAAGGTTCCTTTGTTGTCATGAACAGTTTTCTCAATCTTTTGCATTAATACATCACAGTTGTTTTCAGCCATACTGTAGTGTCGTTCTCCACAGTCTTTAATGAGACTTCTAAAAGAGACATCTGTTTTATCCTCCTTATGTGTGCTGATGACCACTGAGTGTTTGAAAGCATCTTGACCAAACAAACTCAGGATGAACTTCAGTCTTTTCCTTTTCTCTTCAGTGAAATCAGAAGGTTTCACTAACAGCAGCACAACATTTGGTCCAGGAGGACAGAGACTCACAGCCTTCTTCATCTCTTCTCTCCGCTTCTCCAAAGAAACACTGAAAACTTCTGGAGTTTTCACAACTGTAAGAGACTTTCCTCTCCATTCTCCACTCTGCACCATTTGTTTGGCTGTGGAAAGCTTTGCTTTAATGGTTGAGCTGTGTGGTTCTTTTCCAGTGATAAAGTCTCCAAGTTTTGTTGTTTTGTCGTCTGTCCCCAGCAGCAGAATTCTGACTGTAATAGAAAAATAAAATGTAACGTGTAGAGAGACATTAAGTCATGCCACATGGTTAAACTAAAGCTTACATTCTGTTTTCCATATTTAGCTTTCAATGGTTTAATGAAAGGAAAACTCATAATCTTCATGTTGGCTTCTAATTAGCTTAATCCAGACAGTAGCAGGAAAATATAAACCATTAAATCAATATCTGTCTGTGTGTGTCTGTTCATACCTACATAATCATTATATATATTTATATTCCTCAACCTGTTCACAAACTGTTAAACCGTCACATTAAAACAGGAAGTATACAGTAATTTACATGTATGCTTCCTGATTTAATGTGTCCATAACTTTTACTTTATTACAGCATAACTTTTGCTAAGCAGTTTACACAAATACATACAAATACACTTTATTACTGATTTAACTTCTGCGCTTTACAGTGCTGGACCTTGCATATATAAACTTACAGTGATTTTCTGTAATTTTACATACATTTTAACCCCCAGCCATGGCCACGCCCTTTAACAAAACTTAAGCTTTTAATACATTTTATTCTCCAAGGTATCTACGGTACAAGACCAAATTGGGTTGGATGGATAAAGCCTTCAGAGGACTGATTTTGAATATGCACCCTGAAACTCATTTGTTCCTGCTGCCATCACCTTTTTAAACCACTAACTGTGTTGCCTCTGTTTCTTATCTATTATTTACTGTCCTTTCTATGTTGTTTGCTCATTTCGGGCTGTATGTATGTGTGTGTTTTACTGCTGACTGCAAAACAAATTGCCCTCTAGCAGGGATAATAAAGACAACCTTGAACCTTGAACCTTGTTCATGGCTTAAATAGGCATTATTTTAATTATACAACTCACTCTTTTGGTGAGTCTGGTGATGCTCCAGATTCCTTCCTGTTAAAAGGCAGTTTTTCCCTGCCACTGTAACTTTACTGTGCTCATGGTAAATTAATGTTGGGTCTTTGTAAATAATATAAAGAGTACCGTCTAGATCTACTATCTACTATTTTTGTGTCTAAAGACAGCATTTGTTATGAATTGGCACTATACAAATAAAGATTGATTGATTGTAAATCAGTACAAAATGGCTCACCACCTTTTGCATTATGGGCATGGGCCCAAGTTGTTTTTTAGTGCGGGAGCTGAACTTTGTACTGCTCTCAGATAATATGAATCAAGTCTCTATTGGATTCCGGTTTCACATTTTTGGAAACAAAATATTTATAATATAAAAAAATATATATATATAATTATTATAATTATTATAATTTCCCATTTTTCTCTAAAGGGAGATGAGTTTTTGGGGGATAAGGGTCAACCACAGTGGCACCAATATGGTACTGGTCAGTAATAATAAAATGTGTCTATTTATGAAAGTTTACTTACTTTCCCCTGAGGGAGGGGGTGTCACCCTGTTAGCCCAGGGAAAAAGACCTGTTAAAAGATTACATCATTGACTATCAGCTTCATATTCTCATGAGATCAGTAATGATTTTGAGTTTAAACATTTTGATTAGAACAGATCTCTTACCAGAAGACATAACAGCATCCACGATTCTGGGCCTTGTTTCCTTTTGTTGTATTCTTTGTAGGTCATCAGGGGCATCCATGAACACTTCACAGCTGACATGCTCTCCATTGTGTTCTTTCACAATTTGACCCAAACCGGTCAACAGCTCTGGAAGTTCAAGGTTTGCCAGCTCCAAATATCTGTATCTACATTCTCTGATCATCTCTTTTAAGGGTTGACTTTGTGAATAATTTTCAACAACACTTGAGCCCTGCTCTCTGGGTGTTGATATCAGTAACAGTGAATGCTCAAATGACTGATCACTGAAGCGTTTAAGAACTCTACAAAATCTCTGTTTATATTCCTCTGTGAAGTCATCAGGCTGTAGAACCAACAGGAACACATGAGGTCCAGGATCAGAGAGTCTCACACAGTCTGTCACATGTTCTGTCAGTTTGTCTGCAGAGATGGTGGGATGCAGCAGATCTGGAGTGTTGATAAGAACTATGTCTTTCTCCTTTATTTGTCTCCTGACTTGCTCACATTGGTCTGCTTCTTTTCCAGTGTTGAACACAGTCTCTCTCATTATGACGTTCCCCACTGAACTCCTCTCAGACCATGAGTTCCCCAGCAGAACAACCCTCAACTCAGACACTGTGAAAAGAACATTTTAAACAGATCCAGTTTTCTTGGTTTATTTTGGGATTTGATTACCTACTGTTTTTACAGATGTGACCAAAACAGATATTCTTATACAAATGGATAGAAGTTTTACTCACTGGAAGGTGGCAACCATTCCATACTCCAACAGCGCCTCAGAGGATGCAGATCATCTATGATTGAAACAAGTACATTTTCAGTTTTTACACTCTGTAGTTCATGCAACACACACAGGCTGAAATATACACACACATGCACAAACAGGATTCTATGGACATGCACTAATGGAGAGATGTCAGAGTGACGGAGCTGCCCACAGCAGGCGCTCCTGAGCTGGTGGTGGGGAGGGGGTTTGGTGCCTTGCTCAAGGGCACCTCGGCAGTGCTCAGGAAGTGATCTGGCACCTCTCCAGCTACCAGACCAACTTCCATATTTGGTCCACAATGGGACTTGAACCGGCGACCCTCCGGTTCCCAACCCAAGTCCCTACAGACTGAGCGCTAAGCGTCTGCTAAGTGAATTGTAACATTGTAAATAAACCCACACAACTATCAAACATTCACATTCAGCTGGAAGTCCACAGCTAAAATGTCTTTCTATTTAAAGGTAAGTCTGTGTGTGTGTGCCTACATGTGTGTGTATTATTTATTGTTAGTCACTGCCTTTTTTTACTTGATTTGTTTACCTCCGTGCTCTGAGCTTATGATGGTGAAATGTTCCTGTTTAATTATAATTCTTCATGTTCTGACAATAAAGAATAATTAAACCATAATTAACCATCTGGTTTCTTCATCTTTCACTCAGGAACAAAAATCAGCTTTTAAATGTATTATTATTTATATATCGACTGATATGAAATTTTTCATCTACCTGCCACCTTGGCCGGTGAGTCAAAAAGTTAATTTCGGACCCTGCCTGCACACCCTCTTGGTCCCCCCGTTCTGCCTCCTCCATGCTCCTCACCACACCTCCTTTCCGCCTATCATCAATGGGATCTCGAGCATTTAGCCGTACGGCCCCCCGTCTCTGGAACTCTCTCTCTCACAAACCATCCATGACATTAACTATCTCCCCACCTTCAGATCACAGCTCACAGCTGCTGTTTTTGTGTTTTTGTTTTTAAGTAGTTGAGAGTGTTCGTGTTTTTTACTCTACTGCTGTGTCTGTAAGGTGACCTTGAGTGACATGAAAGGCGCCCTTAAATAAAATGCAATATTATCATTATTATTATTATTATTATTATTATAGGTGAAAAAGTTTTGAACATGTTTTTAGATTTCTTTGTTTAAGGTCAAGATTTGGCCTGACGTGATAATCGCTTGTTTTTATTATTAAAGCTAAAAATGCCTCTCCTTTTTAAGGCAGAGCCTCTGTAGGGTGACAGTTGGCTTTAAAAAGAAGTGGAGACGAGAAGTGGGAGGATTTTATACTTTTACAGGGTTTGTCCTGGCTCAGTATTACCTTATTTGACAGAAATCTGTGCATTTCCTGTTATTTCTGACCATTTTATAAATAATATTATCATTATGCTTAAGTTACTGAAACCCCAATTCAATCTGGTAAAGAATTTTTTTTAATTGCAACAATGAAACATGGGAGGAGAGGGATTTTGAGGGAGAGGGGTGTAATGAGATTGGGAGAGGCGAGGTCACATCCTGCCAAAAGTACATTTATTTGAATTACTAAGGTATTATGTCAAATAATCACAGATTTAAGTCACAGATAATTTGGATCATTTGATCAGATCAGGAAATTGAGAAATAATAAAAATATATTTGCTGGCTCTAACGCAGCGCTGGTTGACAGTCTGTGTGGAGAAGTTCACAGACTACAGCTGGCTGACGTTACAGTCGTTAAGATATTGATTGTTGATAAAAGCAGACACGTTGGAATTGAACAGAGAAAAGTTGAACGTGCGTTCCCGACTCGGTCCATACGGATAGCGGATCAACCGGGTTCCGTTTCACGACAAGTCAACAGGTGTGTGCGGTGGTTGGTGTTCCGGTGTGTGTGTGCGCGTTTGCAGCCATGTATGTTGGTGTGTCTCGTCTCGGCGTGCCCCCCCGATGACCCGTCTGCAGACAGCAGAGGAGCAGGGACAAGTAGCCGCAGCTATACGTCATACGCGGTTTAGTATAGTTTTAACATGACTGTTGGGATAAATATTTACCGCCATGAAGAGCATTGCTCTTTGAAATTAACTCCAAATGGAAAATCAACCTGAATTTAGCGCTTGTGGGTGTCAGCGGAGCGGACGGAACCAATCAAAAGAAACGAACAGTCAATCAGCTGGCTATCCAGCGCGAGCCACATGCGTAAACGGATGAGAGGGGAGATGACTGCTAGAAGTCAGAGACGTCGTATTTAAGTTTATGTTCTGCTTGTTCAACAGTCGTTTGATGTATTGATACTTTTAACATTCAGGGAGGATTTGATTTGCAATTTTCATCGTCTTTTTTTTCTTTTGCGCTCTGGATTTTCCTTTGGCGCTGGGTAAAACCTCTTTGGGGGGCGCCAAAGAATTGTTTATGCAGGAAAAACCCTGTTTTATGCTTCTTACCCAAAATAACTTTGTATCAGTTTTTGTTTGTGTGTTTTCCCTCTTTAATAATTCACTTTGAGAACACACAGAGATGAGTTTGAACACATACTGGAGTTCATGTATTTTGAACACAGTTAGGTGGTCCAACGGCACAAGGTAAGAAAATAGCCCAATAACAGAAATAGAGCAAAATATTGAATGATGGAGGATTAAAAATATCAAATTAAAATGCACAAGGTAAGCTAAAACTATGATGACAAATAAAAGTTAAACTTTATTCAGAGATTTCAGACAATAGTGCCGTACAGTCTGAGAGTGAAATGATCACTTTATGAAGGAGTGCAGGAAAACTTCCTGTTGTGAAATATGTCAACAGAATGAAACATGAAAAATAGGCCTATTATATATATTAGGATGTCAAACCATCGTGAAGAGAGTTACTTAAGAGAAAGAGAAACTTACAAATACTAACTATGTCTGCCTTACATATATGCAAACATTGCTTTCATTATTTATTGACATTAATCTCTTTTAGTTTTGGAATGCAGGTAGACATAGAAACTTATTTTGTCCTAAAATATGAAAGAAGGCTAATTGCACTTATATGCTGCACTGTGATATTTTAAGAGGGAATTTTGAATGTCATATGTTTTTCTGAGAAGAAAGCCTTTACTACAGACTCAATCACCATTATATTTCTCTGCATTTAATTCACTATAGGGCTGCACGATATATTGTTACAGCATCGTCATCGCAATGTGAAGAAAAAAATACATATCCATCTGGAGCCGAAAAATATATTTGAGCCTTTCAATTAAGTTTATGTAGCCTGTCTAAGCCCAGTCACATTACTATTATATCTAAATGAGCATACATTTCTATATTTTACCACATTACATGCAACACCTCGCATAGTTAGAGCACCTTGCTCTGTCATCTAACCTGCTCAGGGTCGGGCAGAGCGAGAGGGAGCGGTGATGTGAGCGGAGAGGAGCAGGGACTTTGACAATCTGACAGTTTGATAACTATGTGCTAACGCAAGGGGAGAGTGGTTGGCCAAACAGCCAGGTGCACATTCATCCTTTATAAAGTTAAGGACATACACCAGACCCCTCTGTGTTTAGAATGATATATTGTATGTAGTGATGCATAAATTATATCTGCTCAAGAAAATAAGAAGTGTTAAGGCTGTTACTATTTCTTAAATCCAAGACTCACTGACCTGCTTAAATGTCTCAGTATCTCTTTTGGAGTCTTTAAACATGTAGACAGAGGATAAAACAGAGTCTGACTGGACTCACCTGCTGCTGCAGTCGCCATGATGTCATCAGAGACTAATTCCAATGGAAAGAACAGCTCTGTTTGAGAACCTAGAGAAAGGATTTAAAATATTTAAAAGGGTAACATGTACATTAGTAAAGAAATCAATGAGTGCAGACATCATTCATAGCAATTCCTGTAATATCACTGAATTCATATACTTGTAAAGTAGTTTAGCTCAAGTGATTAGGAAGGTGGTAGGAAGGCATTTCAGCAGACTTCATTTAAGTTAATAAAAACAAAAGTTCAAAGGAAAAAAGGTAAATTACCTCAAAACTAAATCAAACTAAGGCATAGGGCTGGACGATATGGACCAAAACTCATATCTTGATATTGTTTAGCTGAATGGCGATACTCGATATATATCAATATGTATTTTATTAACAATGAAAACACATGGAAAATAAACTATCTGTTTGTGAATTTAAAAATTAATATTATAAAATAAAAATGTTCCTTAAATACAATAAAAGAGAGAGAGAGGGTGAGATGAGAAAAAGGTGACCTGGCACCTCTATCACATTATTTTAATGTAACATAAACTATATCAATATTTACGATATTCTCTTACCCTATATCTTGTTTGAAAATATATCGATATACTTTAAAAACTCAATATATTTCCCAGCCCTACTAAGGCATGTGTCAAAGGCCTCACCTCTCTTTCAGCAATAGCAAACTTTTCCTGGCTTTATAGACTGCCACAATAACAAATTAGCTGCAGCTTGGTGTAACATAACTCAAAGGGTGGGTGTACACTTTTCTCTGAAACCAAAGAAATCAACATGAACCCTAAAATGAACCTTAGCTCATTAACCCAACCCAATTAACTTTAAACATTAAATTATAAATTATCAGTAAAGAATACAGTCTCTCATGTTCATATCAGTTATGTTGGTTATCTCTGTACATTGGAGTAAGGTTGTAGTGTTGTGTTTAATAACTCGCATATAATGGATTTTTCATTATGTCCTTTATTTTTATGATTACGGAAAACCACACAAATATTTTCCTGTCTGAATAATAAATGCAGCACAGTGTGTGAATCTGAAGATTAATCCATCTCAGGTGTATTTTTACTGAAGCCCCATAGCGAATACATCAGCAAACTGTAAGTGGTAGTTCAGCAAATCTCACCTACTGATTTTTACAACATCGAACTGCCGCCATGAAAGCTGCCTGAATGATTGTTACAAACTTCTCAATAAATCACCTCAGCTCAGAGAATTTTTTTGAAAAATGTATTAAAAACTCAAACCAAAATACCACACAAATCTTTTTTCAAAATGTTGTTTGTAATATAATAAATTCACTTTCAATATGAGCTTGCTGACTTGTAGGAGGAATAGAGCAGAAACAGCAGAAAAGATTTCATGGATCACCTACTAAGAATTGATAATAAAATGTATATAATCTTAGTAAAACTTTATCTGATAACTTTTAAACTATACAGGTAACATTAGGCTACTTGTTCATTTTTGAGTATCTAGTTTTCTGGTAACTCACCCGATTAAATTCTTGCTGCGACACAAAAAATAATTGAAAGTGAAACGAGAGTGGAGTTGAGGGTGGAACATGAGCTCGTGATTATTTGTATAATGTAAGTGGTTAAAAATGTGTCAGTCAGAGTAACTAAACTCGGACTCTGTTCTTATTGGCTGTGTCAGTTATGTCGACTACCGATTGGCTATGGAAAACAAGTCCCACCCCTTCCTGGTAGCAGCCAACAGGAAAGAGGCACTTTTACAGCAGCCGGCTGTTGCTGTCGACAGGAAGAAGTTCACACACAAAATGACTTGTTTATATAAATTATGTATTCCGAACATGTAAATGACTACTTTTGAAACTGAGGTATAACTGGTTTTATTAAAGTGCAAGATCTGAGCACTTTATCTTAGTCTAACACACTGATGAACTGAATCTGTTTGTGAGGGGGAATCAAGATCAACTCTTCAGTTCCCTTAACTTGAAGAAAAGTACAACACTTATGGGATCTTATATAGTGGCTGAAAGCACACGTATAACTCCAGCAAGACATTTAGTTATAGTGATAACTCTGGACCAAAACTCATATCTTGATATTGTTTAGCTGAATGGCGATACTCGATATATATCAATATGTATTTTATTAACAATGACAACACATGAAAATAAACTATCTGTTTGTGAATTTAAAAATTAATATTATAAAATAAAAATGTTCCTTAAATACAATAAAAGAGAGAGAGAGGAGGAGCAGGGTTAAGAGAGACAGACAGTCAGTCATCATCAGTGGGATGAGAAAAAGGTGACCTGGCACCTCTATCACATTATTTTAATGTAACATAAACTATATCGATATTAACAATATTGTCTTACCCTATATCTTGTTTGAAAATATATCGATATATCTTAAAAACTCAATATATTTCCCAGCCCTACTAAGGCATGTGTCAAAGGCCTCACCTCTCTTTCAGCAATAGCAAACTTTTCCTGGCTTTATAGACTGCCACAATAACAAATTAGCTGCAGCTTGGTGTAACATAACTCAAAGGGTGGGTGTACACTTTTCTCTGAAACCAAAGAAATCAACATGAACCCTAAAATGAACCTTAGCTCATTAACCCAACCCAATTAACTTTAAACATTAAATTATATTCTACTAATAACTCAAATAGGCAAGAAATAAAAAAACAAAGACAACATAACTCAAGATAAACACTACAGTCGATTTGCCCCAATGATGTCAGTGATAACATCATCAATCTCATAAATACCCAGGAAGTGCTGAACCAGCCCCTTTAGCTGCAGGACCACATGGGGAACTGAAGAAAAGAATAAATAAAGGTAAGGATCCGATAAAGAGAACAACAATTATATTGTGCAAATCCTGAAACTAAATAAAAATTGACTGAACTAAATCAAAGCTGTGTGTTTGCTTTAACTTACTTTGTACTTTGGTATGAACTGTAACATAATGCTTACACAAACAAACCCAGGACAGTAAGTGCTGCAATGTTACACAAGCAAAGGTCAATTATCGCAAAATGAACAACTTTAGAGAATTATGTGATTTGATTTGAATGAAGATTTGAGTGACAAGTGGGAAAAAGTGAAGAGTCTCACAGTCTCTGCTTAGTTCTCGCTTAGTTCTGGGCATGAATTACATTAAGCTTATAGAAATAGCTGAATATTCACGCTGATTGTTATGAAGATTGCATATCCTTTCATGCATTTCTACTTGTTCTTTTATATTACTCTTATATGCCTTAGTCTATCTGTCGCGCCTACTGTGCATTGCTGTTGGCCAGTCAGCTGTCCCTTAGTTCTGTAAAAGATTCAAGTTATTTAGCTCTCCATCCTTTGGACAGTTAGAACATGTCTGTGTTCATAGAGTTTGTAGGTTTTCTTTTCATTTCATATAGGAGTGGACATTTGAAATGAAAGCTTATACTCATTAGCCAGGATAGTTCCGATTGTATGAGCAAATGCAAAGTACAGCGAATGATTACAGGCGAGAAGCAACAACTGTATGTAATGTGTGGCAATGGTGTACTGATATAAAATGTTAATCTCTCAGGTATTCAGAGGGACTAGTAAAGAGGCGCTCCTCAAGTGTACCTTTAATAAACATTAGCATGCAGGTGTGACTGTAACTTCAATAGTGCTGCCCAGTATCTATTCATCTTCTGTATTTATGTTCATATAAATACATGAAGGAAGTTATTTTTATGAGAACTGATATTTACAGTATTTTTTGCCATCGCTATGTTAGGTCAGTAAAGAATACAGTCTCTCATGTTCATATCAGTTATGTTGGTTATCTCTGTACATTGGAGTAAGGAGGCAGTGTTGTGTTTAATAACTCGCATATAATGGATTTTTCATTATGTCCTTTATTTTTATGATTACGGAAAACCACACACAAATATTTTCCTGTCTGAATAATAAATGCAGCACAGTGTGTGAATCTGAAGATTAATCCATCTCAGGTGTATTTTTACTGAAGCCCCATAGCGAATACATCAGCAAACTGTAAGTGGTGGTTCAGCAAATCTCACCTACTGATTTTTACAACATCGAACTGCCGCCATGAAAGCTGCCTGAATGATTGTTACAAACTTCTCAATAAATCACCTCAGCTCAGAGAATTTTTTAGAAAATGTATTAAAAACTAAAAACCAAAATACCACACAAATCTTTTTTCAAAATGTTGTTTGTAATATAATAAATTCACTTTCAATATGAGCTTGCTGACTTGTAGGAGGAATAGAGCAGAAACAGCAGAAACAGCAGAAAAGATTTCATGGATCTCCTACTAAGAATTAATAATAAAATGTATATAATCTTAGTAAAACTTTATCTGATAACTTTTAAACTATACAGGTAACATTAGGCTACTTGTTCATTTTTGAGTATCTAGTTTTCTGGTAACTCACCTGATGAATTTCTTGCTGTGACACAAAAAATAATTGAAAGTGAAACGAGAGTGGAGTTGAGGGTGGAACATGAGCTCGTGATTATTTGTATAATGTAATTGGTTAAAAATGTGTCAGTCAGAGTAACTAAACTGGGACTCTGTTCTTATTGGCTGTGTCAGTTATGTCGACTACCGATTGGCTATGGAAAACAAGTCCCACCCCTTCCTGGAAGCAGCCAACAGGAAGGAGGCACTTTTACAGCAGCCGGCTGTTGCTGTCGACAGGAAGAAGTTCACACACAAAATGACTTGTTTATATAAATTATGTATTCCAAACATGTAAATGACTACTTTTGAAACTGAGGTATAACTGGTTTTAATAAAGTGCAAGATCTGAGCACTTTATCTTAGTCTAACACACTGATGAACTGAATCTGTTTGTGAGGGGGAATCAAGATCAACTCTTCAGTTCCCTTAACTTGAAGAAAAGTACAACACTTATGGGATCTTACATAGTGGCTGAAAGCACACGTATAACTCCAGCAAGACATTTAGTTATAGTGATAACTCTGGACACCATGGGCCACCATTTATGCCACATGGGAAGAATTCACATCACAGAGACTAAATATCTTCATCCACAGCCATGAAGTTACAAAGACTCAGAAGAGAAATAAACACTTATTCCGTCTGATAAATATCAATTTCCAAATCTATTGTTGATATTAAAAGTCACTAAATATATAAATTAGTCACTTTTGATTTACAAAGACATTAACAATTTTGTTCATTAAGAATAAAGGGTGTCATTGCCCAAAGAGACCACAAGAGGGTGTCAGCGCTCATCTTTGTCAAGTACTGATTTGTTTGTTGTCTCTGACATACTCCATCTGTTGTTTGTTTGTAAATGTATACATGGTCTGGGTGGACTCTGGAACCGAATTGCCCTCAGGGATAAATAAAGTTTCTAAGTCTAAGACCTTTTGGCTGTAGTTCAATCCAATACTTTCTGACTTCAACATTTCAATTCTATCCGAAAATAATCTGAAGTCATTAGATTGAAGATAGGTTTGTCAGATTCAGAGTCTTTATCAGTCACTGTGTTGTGTGAGTGAACAGAATGCTGTTCGACTAGTTTAGGTCAGATGCTTTGAACTGGATAACACCCCACAAGAGGAACTAATTACATTCTCATCACTGACAGAAACTATCACCTTGCTTAGTTGTTTAATCAGTCCTACTGATCATAAGTTAACCTTTTTTATTTGTTGGTAAATCCTTAGGCTAAGTTTAAATCTGACTGATAGGTCATCACCTCAAGAGGAATAAAAACCATATCAATGGGCTGAACACATGGGCTGCAGGTTACTTCAGGAAAAGTATTCATGGATCACCGTTTTTAGATCAGTTACTGTGATAGGATCTTAACAGCAGACTTACAGGAGGACGTTTTGTGATTTCAGTTAATGTTGACCTAAAAGGCCAACTATCTGAATTTTTTATTAGAGTTCGGTCATTAGAGTAGGTGTTGATGAGATTTGACAATAAAATTAATGTAATCTTAGTAATATGTTATCTGATAACCTTTAAACTATACAGCTATTCCATTATTACTTGTTCATACTTGTTTATCTAGTTTTCATCAAGTTCATTCACCCAATTAATTTCTTGCTGCGACACGAAAAGAATTCAAAGCGAAACGAGAGTGGAGTTGGGGGTCGGGTGGAACATGAGCTCCGTGATTATATGTTTATTTTTATTGGTTAAAAATCTGTAAGTCAGAGTAATTAAACTCGGACTCTGTTCCTATTGGCTGTGTCAGCTAATGGCAACTACCAATTGGCTATGGAAAACAAGTCCCTCCCCTTCTTGGTAGCAGCCAACAGGAAGGAGGCACTTTTAGAGCAGAGGACTGTTGCTGTTGTTAGGAAGAAGTTCACAAAATGTTTAACTTGTTGATATAAAATGTTGTAATCCGGACATGTAAATGACTACTTTTTAAACTACTGGTTAAAGTGTTAGTTTAGGTCAGATGCTTTTAACTTGATAACACCCCACAAGAGGAAACAAATTACATTTTCAGCACTGACAGAAACTATCTCACTTCATTTTTGATAACCTTTACAGCATAAATAATTACTGAAACCCTAACAGGGCGCCTCGTTTCAGACCTGATCACACACAATACTCTACATTATTCACATGTTTGTCAAATCACCCATGTCGCAAAAAGAGCTGGAGAAAATCATCCACGCTTTTATTTCCTCCAGCCTTGAAGACTGTAATTCATTATACACCTAACTCAGTAAAAAAATAAATCAAACACATTCAAACAATCCAAAACGCAGCAGCCCGGCTTTTAACAAGAAAAAACAAATGTGCTCATATCACTCCAATCTTAACATTCCTTCACTGATTTTAAGATTATTTTAATTACTTTCAAACCACAACATGGGCTGGCTCCTACATATATTTTAGAGCGTTTAACCCCTTATGAACCAGGACGCAGTCTGAGATCCTCTGGCAGTTCTCCACTGGCTGTTCCAGGGTCCAGGCTGAAAACTAAAGCGGACATGGCTTTTGCTGTCACAGCCCCCCAGACAGTGGAACAGCCTGCCAGAGATCAGACTTGCAGAGTCTGTCCCTCGTTTTACTTCTGTACTTCAGACATTCTTTTTCATTTTAATATTTTATTCTATCAGTATGCTTTTATTGTCTGTTTGTTTTACTGCCTGTTTGCCTTTATATTTTGGAACATCATGCTGTTTAATGTCATCTCTGTCAACAGTACAAGCGATCTAACATTGCTTTTATGATTTGATAATATTTCTATATCTAGTTTGGTCGAGTTTACTCACCTGGTGAATTTCTTGATGTGAAAAAATCAGCAGTAAAAGTTCAAGTGAAGCAGCCACGGCACATCTGACTAAAACATAGTTTAATAAAGATTAACATGTTACAGCGTGTTTGTCGAGTTCAAGGACAACCTGGATTTGCCTGAGGCTTTTTCTCACAATGAGTAATAACAGGTTGTATCAAATGTTAGCACTTCCTCATATTTTTAATCACAGGTAAACCACCTTTGTTTGTGAGGGATCAAGAGAATCAAGATGAACTCTCCAGTTCCCCCTGCTGGCGGAAAAGTATAGTTCTCTAAACACGGGACTACAAGGAGGTTGGTTGGAATCATTAAAAGAAAGTTATTTTGAATGATAAATATTCATCTCCAAATATGTTTTTCATTTCAGTGATAGCTGAGGAAACACTGAAAACAGTCACTATGTATAATATTTTGAAGTAACTCATTAAAACACTTGTTTGGTTATTAATAAAAGCCTTTTGGTAATTTATTGGAACTTATAGAATTTGTAAATTATTAACCTTTATCTTTCTAAAAAAATATAATAAATCAAGTAAGTATGATGAATGATTTTAAATAACAGAGCAGTAAACAACAGGTCTCACTAGAAAAAGGATGAGGTTTAAAACATCATCCAACGAGATTGGATGGAAACTGGGAGCATCTGGTGGAGAGATCAAGAACAGCAAGCAACCTTTAGAAGTGTAAATGTGACTGGTGAATAAAGTCAGAGATACTGACTGTGACAGAGGCAAACAAGGGAACTATCTACAAGTGCTACCCTGAAGATTTACTCTTTTTGTGATATTTAAGAGGTCTGTTTTGAGTTGTCATACTGTATACTTGTACTGTATATTGCAGATATATAATGTACAGAGGTCAATGGGCACTTTGTAGGAAACCATAAAAAAATATCCTGTAGTTGTTGCTCTAAACTAAGAGACTTTTTGGTGAACATTGAGTAACAAGGTGCAAATGAAGCTATGGATATAATAAATCAAAAGTGTATCTTAAAAACACAATTTTAACTGTTAAATAGAAAATAATAAATGACTTAAATAATTGCAGGAAAGTAAAGAATTGTTTAACCATTAGAGACGCTCATTTTAAATGTCCAAATATGTGATGTTTTGATTTGGTTAACTTCTGAAGGGTTGTCTTTTTTAATGCATGACTGTTAGTACAGTAGGAGTGGGTGTTACGATGCACTGTAACTGCATTGTGTGAGAGATGACAATAGACTTACCTGACAGTCTACCTAAGTAGGAGAAGAAAAACATGGATGTACTTACCCATTAGTAGCCCAGAGTCTAACCCTGTAAGAGAACCAGAGATGGTCTTCAAATCTTGGGCATGCCAGGTCTCAAACATACAAACATCAAATCTCCCTCTTACTTACAAGATATTAAAGATACAAAAAAATCTGGTCTTTCAAGGTGACACAAAAATACATATATCAAACAAAGCATTGATATTATCTACAGACTCAATATGTCAGCTATCATTCAGCTTGTTAAGCAAAGTGCAATATAAAACCAATGTATTATTATTATTATTATTATTATTATTATTATTATTATTATTACAGCTTACCGTACTCTGATATATAATGCTTTTAGCACCAAATGATAAAAAAGGACACACAAAAGATCATTGTTAGACATTAAACTAGTTTTATTAAATTCCTGATATATCACTAAAGTCTTTGTTATCAGATAAGGTTTAGTAGAGAATACATTTGCCTAGCTTCTCTAGTCCTGAAGGTTAAACTGAAGTTCCTAACGGATAAAAAAAGTTATATGAGGTTGAAGATATAAAACCACAACAAGATAAAAAGAGAGCTTTTATACCAACCACCAGGAAAGTAGTACTAAATAAATTAATAAATAAAACAACTTACCAAACAGCACACACGTTTTTCATCTTTCTTCCTTGGCCGTCTCTTTCTGCAAAAGTTATTCCTCCATGTAGTCTGGTTCATAAAGGTTTCCTTTAGTCTCCAACGTTATCGACACTTTGATGATCCTTCATGATTTGAGTTTCCTTCATTAATTGTCTTTTCTTAAAGCTGCCTAAGATGTCAGGTCGTTTACCTTAAAGTCTCTGTAGATGTGTTTCATGGTCTTCTTGTAGGACCCCTACCTGTTATATGAATCACTCATGAAACTGCTTTCCCCTTACAGTAGAGAACAGGTTTAGTGCTTATGGGGGTTGCCTCCGTTTAACGCA